ACATTGTGATTGCATCGTGAATCCCTAAATGGGTGAAAAATAATTATGGTACACAACTAACCAATCTTAATTTATGCATATAAGAGGGGGAGATATATATGTTGGTTCGAATGATTAACACACTTATAAGTGGTGTGAATACCGTTCAATTAAAGTCTACTAGCACTAGTAGCATCGTACTATCATCATATTACTTATCTCATTCGATGAAAGGATTCTTTTTAAAGACGATGTTGGGGGACGCCTCAACCAATATCCATTACTATGATTTGATAATTTTTTGCTAATTATGGTGGCATAAATGAAATCCATATTTGGATGAGAAAATCATTGATGATATGGTAGCTACGGAGATCATTTTAAATCGAACCATTATGTGCCAATAAAGAGTTGATTGGCAAATAAATCATGGTTAACTTGCTCTCTAAGTGAATAGAGAGGCATTTGAGACCATTAGGTCTCAATTTTGTTGTTGTACCGATATAATATCTTAAAGAGTTGAAAATTCTTTTCGAACGAATATTATGTACCAAATTGAATGTTAATATTGAGTTTGAGAATAAAGTGGACAAGTAGTCCTCAATACCCCCTCCACATTGTGAAAGTCAAAAGCGAGCATTTTGTCCATGTAGGACATTTTTATTGAAATAAATAATGAGCTCAAGCACATAAAGTATTATGAAAAACTTTATTGATGCAAGAAAATTCTCTATAAGAGAAAAATACATGGTACATAAAAATATATGGATTTCTACAAGAGATCGTACCCACAAAGGCTACAATCCCCATTTATATAAGTATAATTCTCTAAGGAGAACCCGGTACCGGAAAGTGAAATAGTGAGCTCTTGATTGATAATAAAGAAATATGGGGTGTATGAAAGATGTTATCGAATAACTACATGTACAATTTTTTTTTTCATAATGTGAAGAGCTTGTAGCTCGTACATTTTAATAGATGTCGACATCTAATTGGTCATTAGTAAATGCATTCACAAATGAAATTGACCATGATTATTTGAAATTATTGATGACATATATTGTACATTGACTTGCGGTCATTACACATAAAGTTCTGAAAGCCTTTAGTGCAAAAGTGGGTAAAATTATTGCGGTACATTTGAATACCTTTTGAAAATATATTTATATGATGCAATCACTTTATGGTGGTATTCAAAATACTTGACATGCATCATATGGATGCAATTACCGCATATGTATATGGATCATAAAATTAATGAAGAAATGATAACGCGTTGTGCATATAATCAGAGGTCTCGTGAGTGAGACTCTAGAAATGATCCATTTACATATTATCTTCAAAATATGGTACATTCACCTCAGTGAATACCTTGTCAATGATCAAATAATTTGACTTACCATTATCATGGTATAGATGTGAATGACCTAAATCTTGTGGAGACTCACGAAGAGCTCACAAAGATGGTCAATTATTTGATGACATAATTTGAGATGAAAAATATTGGAAGGGCAAAATGCATCTTGAAAAGAAGATCTATCAAATGAAATTTATCCATTAATACAAATAAGAAACGGATAAGACTCATCTATTGAGTGATACTATGTTTGTACAAACATTGGATATAATTGAAGATCTTTTAAGCCCTCGAGATGATAATGAAAGAATTACAATATAATTTGCAAAAGTGTAAAATGTTACACTGTCTTTATGGAAAATCTCGTGGATCTTAAAGTGGATATAGTTGGCTATATCAAAGTCGAACAATAAATTATCATATTCAGATATCGGAGTTTGCCAACTACTTCATTGAGAAGATGATTAAAAGTCATATGTCGAAATCAGGGGGAACATGAGCACTACTTATAACAACATTGTACTCTTTTTCTTTCGACCAAGTTTTTGTCCCAATGGGTTTTTCTTGGCAAGGTTTTAACGAGGCAGTGTCACGCTCGCAAGGTTTGCATGGATATGTATGATACGCGCAAAACCTACGTATAAATAACCGCAAGTGTACAGTATCGCGTTTTGAAGAATGGTGAATTCCAAATATCGATCCACAGGGAATTAAGTTCCTAAATCTACCAAGTACCGTAATTATACTATCCTAAACTTTATATAGACGATCAAGAATGGATAGGAGAAATGAAACTAAAAGGAAACAATAAATAAAAACAACGGTCCGCCAGTAAAAGCGAGGAATTCCGACGTGTGATGGCTTCAAGGGTCAAAATCCACCAGTGTACTATCGATAAAGATCTACAGATCCGAATCTATTGTCAATTCTATGTTCGCTAACCCAGACACTAAAATACCCTAACCCCGTCTCCAGTGTAGTTAGAGTCTACCCACAGGTCCGACGTCTCCGTTCAGAACCTGATATTAAGAGAGCATTTAGGTCAAGTCCTTAAGGGCTACCCGAGGTGCATCACGTACTCCGTTTCCACAACCCGAGCTATGTTTTCCTAAGATCAAACGAGAAATCCTCTCTCGAGTTCATTCCCATTTAGAATCAATTCAACTGCTGGCCAAACAATCGAAAGCATTTAATACAGGAAAACATAAACAGAATCAAAGAACGACAAATAGATCGCAGATTTGGAAATCAAAATCAATATATAGAAGGTTTCATTTCCCTAAAAGAAAATGCTCAGTTCATTACAAACATAGCATCAAAATGAAGAACTCGAGAAATCATAAACTAAACATAAAGAAAAGCTTACGAAAAACCCGAGTCGAAACCCTCGTCGAAGCTTCCCGCGAAGAACTGACGAAAAACGAAGAAAAGGTCGAAAGATATGTCTTGATATGTCGAGATCTTAAAAAATGAAGAAGAGACCTTCTATTTATAGTAAGAAATCAAAGAAAAATATCTCGTCTCGAATTGTGTGCCCAGATCGCGATATGGGCTTCTTGGATCGCGATCTGGCAGCCTTGGAAACTGCGCACCGCCTTTCCAGATCGCGATACGGGCATGGTGGATCGCGATCTGGTTCTTGATCAATAAAATGTACTGTGAGACCCCCCAGATCGCGATCCAGGAAGGCTGGATCGCGATCTGGGTCCTGATCAAGAAAACCTTCTGTAAGACCCCACAGATCGCGATACAGAAAGGCTGGATCGCGGTCTTGGCTTCTGCGCCAACTTCAAACACTGTTTGGACCCTTTTCTAGCCCGAATTGGATAAGTTAGCTTTCTAAGGTCACTTGAATCAGCTAAATCGGAGGTCGTATGCAAAAGTTATGCTTGAAATACGAAACAGTGTCACAACCCGCGGTAATGCACTTTTGCACGTGTTTGGTTTGATTTTCGGCTTCGCTTCCAAAATCGTTTCGAATCGGCAAAAATAGATTCTTTTTACCTAAAATATAATTTATTCGTAATTTTATTATTATTATTTTATTTTGTTTCTTTATTTGGTTTTATTTTATTTTATTTTTTAATATATCTCTTTTATAATTGTAAAAATTAGAAAAAAAAAACAACAAATACGATTATTTTACTTTTTGTTATAAATTTGAAATAACAACATAATTTTCGGATTCTTGTTGTATTATTCGGTTTTATCCTTGTTGTTTTTTAAATGTTGTTTTCGTGGTTATTATTCTTGTTTTTTTTCAATTATTGAATTAGTTGAAGATTATTTCTTTACTTTTATTTGAATATTGTATTATTATAATTAAATTATTATTATTATTATTATTATTATTATTATTATTATTATTATTATTATTATTATTATTATTATTATTATTATTATTATTATTATTATTATTATTATTATTATTATTATTATTATTATTATTATTATTATTATTATTAATTATTATTAGTAATAATAATTATTATTCGTTATTAGTTATTAATACTAATATTATTATTATTATTATTATTGTTGTGGTTGTTATTATTATTTTATTATTATTATCATGGTGAGAGTGCGAATTGGAAAAAAAGGTAATATAAGACCGAACGATTGGAAACGACGCAGGTAGAGGGAGGGGGAGGGAAATGGGGAGGGTAGGGGGAGGGGTGGGGAAAAACCCCCCTCTCCATTGGAGATGCTCTAATCCAAACTCCGACGGCCTACCGCCCGGAAAAAATAATTAAAAGAAATAAAAGTCGGATGTCACCTAATGCCGAAGTCAGCTAATGCTTAGTCAACTAAAAGTCGGATTCTATCTTTTTCCACAATTATTTTCATTAACATTAATTTTCATAGTAATATTAATTTTCACAGTAACATTAATACCTTTTTACAATTTTATGTTATCTTTTCACATTAACATGATTTTTATACAGTAACAGTAATTTTCAAAGTAATTTTCTTTTTTCATAGTAACATTAAATGTCACGTTAACACTAGATTTTGACAATAATATTAAGTTTCATAGTAACATTAACTTTCGCACAAACATTAATTTTCACAAATATCATTATTTTTCAAAACTAGCATTATTTTTCCACAAAGAGTATTAATTTTCATAGTAATAAGTACCGTGGTCGTCATAGTCATATAACGCTTTACTATTGTCGACCACACTATTATAGTGCTGTATTACTGCGGTCAACAATAATATTACTGTGATCAACATAGTATAGAGTTATATTAGTAATATTACTGTTGATCACAACATCGTATATATTGTGGTCAACAACTATAATTGTTACTGCGACCAACAAAAATATAGTGCTATACTATTGTTGACCAAAATATAATTGTGCTACATTGATATTGACCACAATATAATAGCTGAAAAGAATATTTTATAAAAAATAATAATATTATTGCGTTAACTAGTTAAAATATATTACAGATATACATCATAATTTTGAAATCATATTTTACAATTTTAATTCATTTTAGCAAGTCAGTCAAATGACGCTTATAAATTGAACTTCAAAAGATCGAAAATAAATCAAAATTACAAAGAAATAATGAGTCCCAGTATGATAAAAATCCTCTTACTACTAGTTCTCTTTATAGAAGGGAACACTCTTGAAGATCGATTCGCAGAAGGATGTTAATTGCGGACAAGCGCAACATTCATATCTTTAACGATCTACCACCAAAATCCGCACCATTGAAATTGCATTGCTGGTCGAAAAATGACGATCTTGGATATCATACGGTTGATGTTGATAAAGAATTTGAATGGACTTTTTGCAGTAATTTTTCGCCTAGTACACTATACACTTGTCAACTTTGGTGGGGATCGAAAGATAGAGCTTTCGAAGTTTTTGATGAAAAAACGGAAGGAATGAAAAGCGACCGCTCGGTTTACTGGGTAGCAAAGAATGACGGTATTTATTACGTTGATGACACTCCTCCGTTTCCAAAATATGCAGAGAAAAAATACGATTGGATATGTATTCAACAATTCATGACAAATAGATGAGGAAAATTATTTATTCTTGCATTATTTTCGTAATTCTTATTAAATCTATAAAAGTCTCATAAATTCGTAATATTTATACTGATTATTTGCGAGATGCTATTAAAGTATATTATGTAAATGGGATATAAATATATAAATGACGAGAGATAAAATAGGGTTACAAAAAATGGTGTTACAAGCAGAACTCTTTGGAGCAAACTTCTTCCAACCACTGCAAAAGCCAAACCTTAAATTAAAAAACCCTAATTCTTTTAAAAATGTAACAAACAATGGAGAGAATAAATTGAAGAAAAGAAGGAAGAGAAAAAAAAAACAGAAACATGGGAGATTTCAACTACTAATTAGGGAGTTTAGGGATTTTGATTTAAAAAGACAATTAAGTCCTTAAAATAGAACCTCGATAAATTGATACCCGATAAATTAATAATATCGCTTAAATAATATTTTATCCCGGTTCCGACTCGGGGACAACGTGTTAAATTAATAATTCACTAAATTTATAAGATAATACATATTCGAAATTTTTTAAGAGCCGCATATAATATATAAATTAATAATGCACAAAAATAATTATTAAAGTACATAATACAATATATATTTTATCGATCTATGAAGGGCTAATAAAATATAATTTAATTGCCGTTTGTTTTTTGTTGAAGTTCACATCAACATCAATTTGCCCTTACTTTTCTTAACATAGATAGAACTTTTGGTATGATTTTCTCACAACTCAATAGAAAATTTATTTAATAACATTGTTGCTTCAAGGTTCCGTTCGAGAAACGGGTTTTATACTACATTGAACTAATGGTACAATGAATAATATATACCTAAAAAAATGTATTTATTGAAAATAATCATAAAAATATTTTATAATTCATAAATTATTAATTAGTGTATAAATTAATAATTATTAGTTTATCGATAAGTTACTATTTCGCTAAATTAATAGAATTTTGATGGTTCCAACCGTATTAATTTATAGAGGTTTAACTGTAGTTACTGAGCCCAATTGCGTGGGCTCGTAGAACCAAGCGGAGGCAACACGTCCGATTTATACGTTGGTCTATGGGCTATAGGTAATTTACAAGCCATCGCCCCGGGATTCCCAGGGGCCCACTACAAATTAGTGATGGTGCCAATAGTTAATAAATTGTGGACGAGTTTTTCATTTTTCAATATATTTTTTCCTAAGATATCATATCAAGTACTAACCGATTGTCATGTTGTACTACAGTTAGAGCAATTTCAATAACAAAACATTAAAATGAATCATCAAATACTAATGTGATGTTAGTTTTATTATTTTGATACACATTTACTCCACCTACAAACATTAAATGGATTATTAAATTTTAAATATAAATATAGAATTGATACATGTCAATTCATGGTAAGTTATTTGAGCAATAAATTTTCTGATAACTCTTTTAATTTCGCATGATACATATTGCATCTTCCAAAGTCGAATATCAAAATAACTACCAATTTAATTCCTCAGTTGATGATGAAAATTTGAGTTTTAGAGCATAAAAATTGAAGTTTTACTATCTAATTTCTTATTTAATTTATCCATTGCAGTTGCTCTTATACTAAAACTAGCTAGTACTTCACCCGTGCGATGTACGGAGACGGTTTTTGGAAAGGAAAATGTTTGATTAGAAAAAGAAAAACTCAAAACTCTAATTAAAAGGATTAAAAGCTGATTTGCCATACGAAATAGTAGAAAAGTAAACAAACCAACGACTCCGTTTGGTTTAAGTAACGAATTAAACCGAAATACGCGATAAAAAGAAAAACAATCGAATATGAAAGTTTCATATACAAAAAGACAATACATCTTTTGATCAAACTTGTACAGCTATGCCGCTCATTGAATAAAAATTCTTTACTTCGCAACTCAAGTCATTAAAATTGTGTTCGATAACAACTGTATGAACCGCCTATAACAAATACAATACCTCGCGATTGACATGCATATCTTGGGTAAACTGCATAAAAACCCCCGTGTTATGGGAAACATGTACCAAACCCCCATGTGTTAATTTTATTGCGTAGAATCCCCCTGTGTTTTATTTTACCTTGCATGAAATCCCCAATTCTGTTAATATTTAACACCGTTAACTATTTAGGGGATTCCATGCAAATTTTTCAAAACACAAGGGGGTTTGGTGCATATTTTCTTTAATATATGGGGAATTTATGCAAAAATATTTTATTTATTTAAAATTTGATTTTTCTTTTTAAATTATGTCAAACACATATATTCAATTGCAGTATAAAAAATTAAAACTAGTGGTAAGGATGAAATTTCTAACAATTTTTTTTTTTCTTGTAATTTTGCTGTTACCAATTTAATTTTTTAAATTTTAGAACATTGTTTTTCTCATTTGAATTTCCAAAATTTGATTCCATTTCTTTTAGAAAAACCAATTGCATCAAAATTGAAACTAAATAAAAAAAATTGGAAATTTCCAATTTTGAATTAAAAAAGTATTTATCAATGTATTTAATAAAAATCAAAATTATATACTTATAATATCAATATTGTTATATATTTGTATAATTTATCTTGGATGTATATTATATGTCGAAAACTATAAATAATATGAAAATTTGCCTTTCAAAAATTGAATAAATGTATTTGACTTAATTTCAGAAAAATAATTCAACTTTTAAATAAATACATATATTTTAGATAAAGTCCACTTGTATTTTAAATAACATGCACTAAGTCCCCTTGTGTTATGAAAAACTTGCATGAAAGCCCCTAAATAGTTAAGGGTGTTAAATGTTAACGGAATTGGGGATTTCGTGCAAGATAAAATGAAACACAGGGAAATTCTACGCAATAAAATTAACACAAGGGAATTTGGTGCATGTTTTACAAAACACAGGGGGTTTTTATACAGTTTACCCTGCATATCTTGGACAGGAAATAAATTCATTTTACATGAATTATCTTGATAAGAAATCTTCAATGAAGTCGACTGTAAGTTTACAGTAAAATGCAATTGAACATAACAATGAAGACTAATTACCCATATAAGTAATAACAAAATGGTTATTTAATCACAATAGACAAATTTGAAAATTACTCAATCTATATTTATATAATATATAAAAGTTGAATTCCACACCTAATTGATTGATATTTGTCAATTTCAATTGGTGACATGTATTCAATTTCATCATATGTGGCAAATTGCTTGGTGAAAATAAATCATCAAAAAACATGTCACCATTTTCCAAAATTAAAGAGGTATTTAATTATTTTATCATATATTTATATCATACCATTTATAAAAGGGGTTTTTGTGATAAAGTCCCAACCATACACCTTTATTATTCTAGGTTTATGTGCTATATTTCTTTCACCAATAAGCTCATCCCTTTAATATTTATTATAAATAAAGGAAACATTCATGCATATCCCAATATTACCCTCAACCCGTTATACCCAATTTTTAATATGCTCCAATTTCATCTTTAACTTAATTTAACCTCAATTTGACCCCAAATTTCACATATTATTCAATTTCGACCCCAAGTTTTTTATTTTTCCAATTTTTTTTTTCGGCCGGATTCCGGCGTTGACTTTTCATTTTTTTTTCTTTTGTTTTTTCTTCTCTTTTCTTCCAGATTTTTTCGCTTAGAGTTTTTAAAGGATTTTTTTTTTTGTTTGTTTGTTTGTTTTTTTTTTACGTCCGTCGCTACACGTTGACCGTAATTGTGCTGTCACTGACATTAAATTAACGTAATTATACTGTCAATGATAGTTAATTAACGTAATTATACTGCCGTTGAAAATACATTTATGTAATTGTTCTGCCGTTGACAGTAAATTAACGTAATATTTTTATTTTTTATTTTTTGTTATTTTTTTTATTTTGTTTGATTTGTTGACAAGTCAACGTAATTATATTACTGTCGTTGACAGTAAAATAACTGTAAATGCAATAATATTACTGTCAACAACATCAATATTATTATTTTTTTGGGGTTTTTGCTTTATTTGAATTATTCACGGAGTAACGTAATAATATTACTGTCTATTATTTTAATATTACTGTAAACACAATAATATTACTGTGGTTGATGATAATATTACAGTTGTTATAGTAATATTGCTGTCAACCACATCAATATTATTATTTTGTTTGTATTTTTTTGTTTGTTTGAGTTATTCACGGAGTAACGTAATAATAGTACTGTGGTTGACGGTAATATTACTGTTGTTATAGTAATATTACTGTCACTCACAGTAATATTAATTCTTTTGGCTTTTTATAATATTTACATTTGTTGAACGGTCAACATAGGAATATTACTCTATTACACAATAATAATGAGTTTTGTTCTGTTAATATTACTGTGCTAGAGATTAATGTAGCAATATTACTGTGTTAAACTGTAATTTAGTTAATTTTACATGTGTTTAACAGTAAGATAGTTAATATTACTGTCAATCAGAGCAATATTGTTGTGTAAACGAAGAAAAAAAGTTATAGAAAGAAAGAAAAGAAGAGAAAAAAAAACGAAAAAGGCAACGCCTGAGACCGGCGAAAAAATCCGGAAGAAGAAAAAAAAAATGAAAAGTCAAAGCCGGAATCCGGCAGGAAAAAAAAAAGTTTTTGAAAAAATAAAAGTTTTGGGTCAAAATTGAATAATTTGTGAAATTTGGGGTCAAATTAAGGTTAAATAAAGTTAAGGATAAAATTGGAGCATATTAAAGTATGAGGGGTTATTTTAGTCCTTTACAAAAATCTGGACCATGTGTGGACTTAGTGGTAAAGGAGTTTTTTGTCTTGATCTCTTTATAAATAAGTACCAATTGATGGACTTATTTGTAAACACCCCTTTATAAAATGCTCTAAATATATCAACTTTCTTGGAAACTCTACATAGATTTATTTTTTAATTTAATTTTAATAGTAATTAATTTAACTTGAACTTAGTTAAATTCAATTTAAATTCTTCCCTCATTATAATTTCATGATTGGTGGTGTTACGAAAATTTTATATTTTAATTCATAAACTTGGATTTATATTAAAAATAATAGGGTCAATAGCACTTAACCCCCTTGTGGTTTGGACATTTTGCACATGACCCCCTTATGGTATAAATTTAGGCACATAACCTAGACACGGCCACGGGTCGGTTCGGGCCGGTTCCGGGCCGGTTCGGACCGGTTCACGGTTCACATTTTCCGGAACCGGAACCGGCCCGTGGCGTGCACGGTTCACCGGGCCGGGTCGGCCCGCCGGTTCGGGCCGGTTCACGGGCCTATCCAGGCCGGTTCCGGGTCGGCCCGGAAATTTTGAATTTTTTTTTTGTTTTTTTTTTTTGAAAATTTAATGAATAAGTAAATTAAAAGAAATACTTTTAAATAGATAAAGGAAAAGGAAATAAATGAAAAGTCAATTTAGAAGCACAAGTTTGAAATATTTGATGAATAAGTAAATTATAGGAAAAATTGGAGTGTGAGGGTATTTATAGGAAAAATTGGGGGGGTTAGGGGGCAAAAAAAATTCAAAAAAAGCAAAATTGGGGTGTGTGGGTATTTATAGGAAAATTGGGGGGGAAAA